ATATAATTAATTCTACTTTATATCGTTAGGATTTCGTTATGCGGTATATCTTACGTTTTAATTCATATAACCACTGACCTACAGCTGGTGCATACTTTTTTAAAAAACCTTCTGAAAGGTCGCTAATCATCTCTTCGTCTACAAAATAGTTTGAATCCAACACTAAAAATCGAACATAGAGCCCAAAACAGTTCTAAAACCACTACGATAGCACAAGCAACGAGATAGCGTAGGTTGAAAACAAAATTTTCAATCATCTTTCGAATCTAACAGCCGAAATTGTTTAAGGAGCCGCAAACTGCTCCAAACACATCGAACCAAAGCAAAAGATATCCCGAAGGTTCGATATTATTGGAAGAGCGACTAACAAGACTCTCGCGGAACGCCCAAAAAAGTGACTGATTCGAATTTTTCCGAGAAACGCCAGAAATTGCACGAAATTCGAGCATGAGACCAAGCTGCTTTACATAATATATAAAAAAGTTCAACTATATCTCATGACAGGTGTCAGACACCGTACCTAATTCTTGGCCAGTACGAAATATGACCCTAGTAGTAATCACCAGTAATCACTAGCATGTACTGTATAAGTTTAACTGCATATTCTAAAGCCATATATTGTTAATCAAATATTTCACGTAAACTTTTATAATCAATAACAAAATCGCATCCCTACTGATTAGGATTAACTGCGAATCTGTGGTGCGATACATATGCCCTTTAGCCTAAAACAAAGTTTTCTTTAGCAAAACTCAAAAACAGTTAAAGTAGGTACATGAAAATGCCAAAAAACAAAACAGTGAGAAAATTACAAACTACCAACAACAAAAATAGCGTTTTCTACGGTTGAGAACATCATCAGGTCTAGCTTCCAAGATTCCAAGGATTGAGGTAGAGGGATTCGCAATGGAAGAGACCAGTGAGAGGCTCTCATCATTGCCTAGTCTGGTGAGTTGTTGGAGGATTTCCCAGTAACCAAATTCCTCGAGGTCGAATTTACATTAGCCAGAGCTACTAATAAAAGGGATGGAATACGACAAATAGTAGCTGAAAATATTTTTTTAGCATGTGAATGATTATTAGTAATGCATACGGGAGTATGGAGTTGATTTTAGTATTGGTAGTGTCTCGCATTGGTGCCGATACTGATCGAGTTCCCGAATTCGTCTAAATATGTATGTAATGAAAGATTATCAAAAGGATTTTTCTGCCAAATATTGTATCAGATAAGTCCATTACGATTTTAACGGCGTCAATATTTTTGTGCATTAATGGATATATTTCAAACGTCTTCCAAGAGAAACTGTAGATGTACGTGCCTCAACAGAAGCAGGAACGGTTTTATTCCTGCCGGTTAAAAAATTGTATTGTAGACAAGTTTACTTAATTTTATCATCAGGGGCTCCGTTATTTCACTTCACGAGAACTCAAGACTGTACTTGTCGGAACGTGTGGGGGCATTAATTTTGCGCAGACCGAGTTGTCTTGAGAGCTGTGTCATTTATTATTAAAGTTTTAGTCTTTACGCGGTAAAGAAGAGATATTTTTACTAGTTCTTCGAAATGGGATCTTTTTCAGAGGGCGCACATTTTATATTCTCAGGAAACAATTTTCCTCGACTTAAATAAAAGCTTTTTATTTAATTTGTTTGATTTCTAAAAAGTAATGTGAATATTTACAAATTAGAATATCCTACTGCCTATTTTAGTAGATACTATTTGTTTTTAAAGTAACTGGAAAAAATCATCTAAAAATAGCATAAAAAAATTACGTAGTACATGTTATGACGACATATAAATATGAATTGCCACTTTAGCAATATTTTTGTGATAATTTTGTTGCAATAATGAATTTCATTTTTTGGAAACGTTGAAAAAACTAAACTAATGAAAGGTAAAGGTAAACAGTATTTTCCATCAATTATAAAAACTTTCAAACTTCAACTTTCAACAAACAATTTGTTTAAATTTTAAATGATTTTTAATTTAATTTATATTTTCAAATTGTTTGTATGTGGAGTACTTATTATTTTTCAGTGATTTTTCTATGTTTGCAACATTCACAGCAAATAATGGACTTTTTTATAGTGTTAACATCTTATTAGTAGAAAAGTTGATAGATTTTATGACAATATGACAAAATATTCCTTCTAAATTATTTTGTGATGTCTTGACAGGACAGTTTTAAGAACAAGGGCTTATTTTATATTTTTTTTCTCTCAGAAATAAGTATCTTGATTTTATATACAGGGTGATTTATAAATTGTGACCAAAAATGAATCCTCGTATTCTCTGGTGAGTTTTAAAGGGAGTCTCTCCTATAAAGTTTTTATCTAGGACGCTTCATTAAAAAAGATACAGGGTGTTAAACTGCAAAAAATATTTTAAATAATTTAAAAACTAGTAAGTGAATTAATTTGAAATTGGGCACATGTATTTATATAAACATTGTCCAAAATCTGAGGGCTTTTCCTAAAATTTACATGCTCCAGTGGCGGAGATACAGGGTATCGGTACCATATTTTTGCTAAATAAAATAGTGCCCCACTGCTTTACGGTAACAATCATGACATTTTCCGATTCGTCTTTCAATTTTCTACAAATTACTACTTCTTTATGTTTTTCGAAAAAAGCCTGATTTCTAAGTAAAACTTAAAAAACAAACTGAAAACACTTTTATTTAAATGACATGACAAGCACTAATAATTCATTCGAACGAATCCGAAAATATCATGGTTGTTACCGTAAAGTAGTAGCATACTATTTTAGTTAGAAAAATATTCCACCCATACCCTGTATCTCCGCCACTGTAACATGTAAATTTTAGGAAAAGACCTCAGATTTTGGACAATGTTTACATGTGCCCGAATTTCAAATTATTTCACTTAACTAGTTTTTAAATTATTTTAAAATTAAAAATATTTATTGTTTAACACCCTGTATCTTTTTAATGAAGCGTCCTAGATAAAAACTTTTTAGGAAAGACTCTCCTTAAAATTCACCAAAGAATACGACGTTTTATTTTTGGTCACCATATGTGATCACCCTGTATAATAAATTAATATAATAAATTAGAATTGTATAGAATTAAATTAGAAAATATTACTTCTACATGCATTGCCTAATAAAAAAGTGAGTTATCGGCATAATAAAAATAATTATGAACTTATATTTCAGCGGTATAACATGCTTTTCCAAAATCTCGGAATTTCATTTCAATGCGAGAAATATCAAACAGGTTGATTTATGTTTTTTGAGATGTTTTTTTTCATGATAATTTTTAGCTGCTCTCAATTTTTATTATCAAAATTCGTTAAAGCTAACCACTAATTTCCCGTAAGTGAGATTTGTTACCTACCGTTTAAAAACTGTCAAGTTATTTTCTGTAGAAATCTTTTTTCCAAAAGTAAGGTAGATTTCAATATCAAAAACCACTATTTTAATTGACGTTATATAAAGTAATTAGTAGCAAAACCTGCATTAAATATTCAAATTGACCAATCGATCAACAAACTCATATCGCACATTCCAGATATTTCCAATGAGAACTATAGTCTCTTTTCCAACTAGTAAAAGGTAAAAGTTTTACGAACATCTTTTGGACTTTATTTATTTCAAGCAGCAAATTATTTTAAACATTTATTATTATTTTTGTCACCTAATGTTTTGTTATCACTTTCAATAAATTTGATGTTTTTTAATCATCACTTTTTTTTAAACAAAAATCGCTTCATAATTTCTGAACGATAAGTAACAGACTTAAATTAGGTACCTATGTGTCAGCAGTATATTAAAAAAAGAAGCTCTATCAAATTTTGATGCAAAAAAAATTGAACTTAAAATTCAACAATTCACCAATTCAATTTAACAAAAAAGACCTGAAAAAATAAAAATTGAGACCTTCTTAGTTTTTCTTTCACACTGAATATGTCCGACCTTTGTTACATACTGTATAATAAAATGTAAATATTTGCAACGAATGTTAAAATTAGCCACTATCGGCAGCACACTAATCGGCGTTCAAAACTCACGTTGTACAATCTAAATATTTCCAAAGCAAAATATGGTTTCAACAGCATGGCGAATCGGGACTATATAGTTAGAGTTTTCGTTTGACGTCTTTTCCAACTAATGAACCAGAAGACGAGGTGCAACAGAATAGCCACCTCGCTGACCAGACTTAATGCCTCCAAAATGTTATTGTGGGATGCCTATTTAAAAGTCAAAAGTATACGAACACCGTTTGAGCTTTGTTTGGAATTGATTTCAAGCAGCAAATTGTGCTTATTTGGAACAACTATTATTATTGTTGTTGTTGTTGTTGTCACTAATTGCTTCGAAACTTTTGTTGTAATGTTACTTTCAATTAATAAGTTTTTAAAAAAGTTTCTGGAAATGTTTCCCTTCATAATTTCTGAACGGCATGTAACAGACTTCATATTAAATATCTTTTGAAATAATAAAAATCGACCAAATCTGTCGTTTTTTTGCAAAACTTAATAACTAAGTACTTAGTCTTTGTTTCACACTTAATATTCCTGACATCCTAACCGTTACAATACATTTTTTATATAATAAGAACAAATTCATTTTGTATATTCCAAATATTTCGGCTTTGGAAATAAGGAATTAAGGTGGACAGCTCAGTGACCAGACTTAAGACTAAACTTTTTTGAGAATATTTAAAAGGCAAAGTTTACGTACACCTTTTGGACGTTTCCAATTTAGGTATTCACCGTTTTTGTCATTCAGACATGAAGAAAATTGCATACAATTAAAAATACAAGTAAAATTTAACAAACTTGTTAAAAAGAGACTCTTAAAAAAAATCAACCAGATCTCCAGTTTTTCGTGTAAAACTTAATACTCAAATTTTGTTTCACACTTAACATTCTTGATTTTTGTTACACTCTGTCTAATGAAATGTAAATATCAACAAAGGATGGTGAATTAACAAGCTCGCAATACCTATCTACTGAAATTGACATGAGATAAACTGACCTTTAATTACACTGCTTCCGCTCACAACAATGCCCCTCGAAGCTGCGGCGCATACTTCCGTTCTCGAATCTGAATTTCAAAACACAAAAACCACATTGGCACACCACGAGGCTTCCGCAAAGTATCAATTTTTCCGTACCACCGCGTTCTGTAATGTCATCAATTTTCTGTCACTCGTCGCGCTCAAGACCGCTCCTGCCACCGAATTAATCAGCTGAAAGGTGGTACAGTCGAAAACGGCGAAAAACCTCCCGCGGGTTGAATTTTCGCCAAACCTCGTTCTCCTTATGGGGTGTAAATCGAAAAGGGCTACATTTTGCGCGGCTACCGTCGAGTTTTAAAAACAGGTGGGAACCTGGGTGTCGGACGCGTGATTCTGCGGCTCAGTGGGGACGCGAGCGGCCGGAGAGCAGCGGCAGAAATAAACATCCATCTGGTTTATCCGAGAAAAGGTACAGAGCGTGGTGTAACTTTGGAGACAGCGGTACGCGCAGGTCTTGCTAACAATAGGGTCATACACCTACGATTCATCTCTCCAAATGCATTATCCATTCAATTGCGTAAATAACAGGGCACGAAATTTACATACGCCTTCCTACGTGAACCTCTCTCATTATGAAGGTAGGAAAGCTTGCGGTACGCGCGGCATTTTTTCCGGAAATGTGGAATTGTAGAACATCTGGATGCGGTTCTGGAGAATTTCCTGTATCTACACAAACGTGTTAGTCTCAAAGTTCACTGCAAATACCTGATATACAATAAATCAAGAAAATAAATACATTTATTTATAATTTAATTTGAATTCCCTACAGTTTATTAAGGAAAGTACCATATTTCTCCAATGATAATAATCAATACTGTTAAAGCTTATTGAGAACTTCTGGAATCGTCTTCGAGTTGTATAGGTAGGTACTACATTTGGAAAGGTGAATGAATATATTGAAAAATATAATTTCAATGTGTGTGTGTGTGTGTTGATTTTAATTTTTATTTTTAATTATGCTGTAAATTGTTCCATACAAACCTCTACTATCTTTTATGTCTTACCTTGTACTTTCTTATCCCTGGCCAGCTGTTAGTAGACACTTGTTACATATCAGACAATATCAGAAAACCTCAGGAGTCGGTTCTATATTTACACACAAACTACAGTAGGATCATATTCGATGCAAAGTAATAAATCATTGCCTGTCAAGGGAACCAATGAAGTACGCTTTTAAAGGTTTTACAAATTGAATAATTTCTTTATATATTATGAAGGGACGAGGGGATCAGTTCAGGTCTGGCACCCCTGTTCCTACAAAAATTCCTTTATTCTCATAAACTATTTATTTTAAATGTAATTTATTATAAATCCAATTTGTTTCCTAAATTCCACATATGTACTACATTTTACCTCTGCACGCGCCACTGTTGTTTACTTGTTTTTTGAAAGGGCTCTTTAATTGACGGCAAAGTTCGCCAGGTTAGTATTTGACGTATAACCGACCAGTTCGTACTCTCGATGCACCTGGGCGACTACAGCTACTACCAGAACACAGTGCGTATGCAGCGGTATTTCAGATTTTACATTGAATTTCATTTTAAATTTGAAATGATTTATCTTACGCCTCCTAAAAATGATGACACGATTTTCCTTTGATAAAAGACCGACAACTTTTTGCTCTACTTTGCATCAAATACGATCCTACTATAGTAGTACAATGCAACACACTTAGAATAAATAGAGTTTTAAATTCAATAAAGTGTTTATTCAAAAATTTGTTATACTTATGACTTTATACTTGAAAACTCCATAAACTCAAATTAGGAATACCTTTTTATATGTAATATGTTTTCCACAACAAAGAATATTTTAATAATGAAATTTGCCTTTTTTTCGGCTCAGCTTACAAACGATATAAGGAATAATTATAAAAAAAAACTATTAACTAATGATCTATGTAATATTGAGTACGTCTCCTTATATTATTTGTTGCCTATTAGACAGGGGCATCTCTTATATCTACACAGGAACGAAAATAATTCAGACTAAAATAAAATGGCTGTTCATTTGACAGATTTTCTCGTAAAAATGGCGAAATATTTAAGTTACAAGTGATTGGATTATGCTTATTTCTGTAAAGGTAAGTCCTGTGGTTTGTTATTTACACTTTGCAAAAATTTGTTGCGAGAGAAAGCATGATTTATTGGTGATAGCTAGCAATATTATAGTGCACTGTGTTTTAGGTATCTAGTAGGTACGTTGTAAAATTTGAAGTTTCCTTTACTGGAATCTATGTAGAGGACTTGTAGACTATTTATGTGGCCACTGGAAACTGCTTTGGAATTGCTTTATACTGCTGGTAGCGGAAAATTTTCATGGGCTGACAAAATAACTTTCTCTGGACTCTGGCAAACTGTGGATTTAACTGGTGATTGTTTAATGTTCTTTCTTGGACTGTTTTTTCTTGCTTTATTTTTAATTTTTCGGGATCTGTCTCTCCACGCTGTACATCTTGCAAAAACCCAAGCCGTAACTAATCAATATTTTTTTGTTTTTCTCATACTTTCTGAATATTATGTCCGTAGCTTTGGTTAAGGTCCATACACAGAATTGTTCAGTCTTTGGATGTCCTTTTCAATCACTTTTTCACAACATTACTTATAACTAACACATTTTTAACAAATGTCCTTTTATTTTTATATACAATTCTAAAAATTAATTAATAAAATATTCTTTATTTTATGTTTTTTAGGTCATCTCTGGGTATTCTTACAAAGCCACCTTTAGATTTGACATTTGTGAAATTTATTTTAAAATTTGACAGTTGATGAAAATTTTCATGTTATGGTTTTTGTTGGATTGAAATATCTTATTTAAGTTTACTAGTCTTCCAACGATATGTATACCAGATTAATCTATAGACTTTAAACTTCCATTCGATATAAGTCACTCTAGATTTAGATTCGTTTTTCTCTATGTACTGAGTACTAACAAATGTCGACGTCATGCATTTTATAAAAATTTATTCTGTACTTGAGAATAAAATTAAAAGATTATTATTTTTATACTATGTAATATCATTGATCATTACTAGTTTTATATCCAGAATATCCATATTNCCTACAGTTTATTAAGGAAAGTACCATATTTCTCCAATGATAATAATCAATACTGTTAAAGCTTATTGAGAACTTCTGGAATCGTCTTCGAGTTGTATAGGTAGGTACTACATTTGAAAAGGTGAATATATTGAAAAATATAATTTCAATGGACTCTGGCAAACTGTGAATTTAACTGGTGATTGTTTAATGTTCTTTCTTGGACTGTTTTTTCTTGCTTTATTTTTAATTTTTCGGGATCTGTCTCTCCACGCTGTACATCTTGCAAAAACCCAAGCCGTAATTTTTTTTTATGTATATCATTGCTGTTGAATATTATTTTTTTATGACATTTGGCAGAGAAGAATTGCTACGGTGTGCAATAAAACAGAACGACTGTTGACATATTGTTTTTTCCTTAATTACTTGCGTTCAATTATGATATTTATGTCTAGTATTACATTCATGTGTATTTAATAGATATATTTGTCTAATATTTAAAAGTGTCGATTCGATATAGTGTGATCAGGATGAAGTTGAAATGGTACAATTTTTCATTTTTTATTTTAAGGAAAAAAAGTCATTCTTTCCAAAGAAATCCACTGATATTCAAATGTTCAAAAATGCAGTTTTAAATGAGCCAACATTGTATGTGTTCCTAAGCTAAGAAATGATCAGAATAGATTAGACCAGATAAGAAATTCTGATTGGTTAAAACCTAATCTGCAATCTTTTTGGAGAATTAGGTAATCTTGTTACGAACAAAATGAATATGTTTGTGTAGGTAAAATGACTTTTTCGTACAAGATATCAATAATTTTATTAGACTAGAGATTGGAATTAGATTACAGAATTTATATTTGTCCAAATAACCTGTAATCTCTTATTTCACTATTTTTCTTTCAGTTTAACTAATAATAATGATTGAAATGATATAATTTTCAGAACTTTGGGAAGCCCTTCTTGAATATTAGCGTTATTATGGTTACTCCAAATTCAACTGGAAATTTTTCTACTTTGAAAATTATAAAATCAGTAATGTGACATGGTTTAAAAATTAATTTTAATATTTTTTCAGTTTATCAGTATATACTATATGTATTGAAAAAAATAACAAAACAACCCCATTTCATTCATTGTTGTTTTAAAAACCAAGCCTATAGATTCCAATTAATTTGTGTTAAAATGATTATTTATTTTCTGAAGAGAGCGTAAAATGCCATCAAGAGAATTAATTTTCAAAATTCTGTTGCACGCCACTAATAATTTTTTGTATTTAAACGAAATTGAATCAGATGATATGGAGGTTAATTCATGTAGAATTAAAAAAAAAACTTTACGACTTTAATTTACGAAATATATTTGAAAATATGTAGTTTTTAATTTTTTCCACTTCAGCACTTGGAAACGATTTTTGACAAAACTTTATTTGAACTATTCCCCTGAATTTTTAACGTATAATATATTGGTTATATGTTGCCGATTATTAACTGAACACCCAGTATGTAAATGTTTAACACTTTATGACTACTGCTTCTATGGAAAAAAATATAAACGGATTATAAGGTTTGGGATATGGTCGCTTCTAAATCTTTGAAAAACTGAAAAAGTTGTCCGAGATTCTGAAATGGTTAAATGGTGAAAAAGCAATTTTTTTTACTGCGAATTTGTATAAAGTTAGATGCATACCGTAAACTTGGGTGGCTTTAGCCGCCCTGGGTGACTTTGGTCAATTTCTGAAATTTGTTTCTTTCCTATATATAAAAAAAATGAACTTAAAATTTTTTTCAATATCAAGTTATGTATGACTTATTCAGTCTATAAGGAACTCAAAACTATGAATATTAAAAATAATTGGTTCCTCGTATTTCCGTAAATAATCTAAGAATGTCCTTGTTAAAAAAGCGCGAATTTTTAGTCGTTATAACTTTGTCTGTACAAGCAAAACTACGCTCATCTATTATCGGAGGCTGAAGGGAGATGTTCCTAGGTCTTTCTAGCAGATTTTTGTTCTTATGCCATCAAGTCAAACTTTTACCCCTAGCCCATAGGGGGTGGCCAAAGTCACCCATGCGCTTTCGGTAGTTTTCATGGGTTACTTTGGCCGCCGGTGATTCACATGGTTGTGGTACTCCTTTATTGTTATTGGTGAGTAATAATTCTATTAAAATAAATTTTATAATATATAGCACTGTTGGTAGTAATTTTAGAACATGGAACGCTACAAAAAAAGGTAGTGGAAACTATTGCAATTATACAAATGTTAGGTTAGAAGAAGCTATAAGAAATATAAGAGAGGGACGAATGTCTCAAAGACACGCTT